TCTTCTCAGAGGCAAAGACGACTGCAATAACAATCACAAAGATAGGCAGCTTTGAGAGCTGCTGAAACACGTGAAACACGCTTGAGAGTCAAAGACAACTGCAACAACAAGCAGAAAGACAGGCAGTCTTGAGAGCTGCTGAAACACCTGCTCAGAGTCAAAGTCGACTGCAACAATGAACAAAAAGAAAGGCAGCCTTGTTGGGCATCTGAAACAACATAACAGTCACAGACGTAGAGATCAAAATGTACTAGCGTCCTTAAAATATTGAAAGGAACATCTGGTCTCTATTTTATAAATGGTTATATGTGATATATTCAATGATTATCCCTTGATTGACTAAAAAAACACAGGTTACTTGTCATCGGTCTAATGGACAATGAATGCCATTTTCGCAGTACTTTGAAATTTTGTTGAGACTGCAAGCATTCGCTGCTTGGTAAGCTAGAAGAGCCTTTAAAAGTCTCTTACTCTTTAATATGACACTGTAGTGTGACGGCGATTTTTTAAATAATATTTATCCCGAAATACAACTCATGCTTCCAAATGACCTGTTTTGGAGTTGAACGGGAGGATAATAATGCCAAGATTTTCTCGAAGATTATAGTGAATCTAAGGACAAGTATAAATATAAGGACAAGTTTGGTTCCCTTTTTTCAGACGCTAAAGAACAGCATCAATATTTGCAGGTGTATTTTATGGGTGGGTAGACCGCCACTGCCAGTTTATGCTGGAAGTAGAAAGAGATACAGTGATGAAAATTAAAGAATTTTGAATAATTGTGAAACTTGTAAATGTATGAAGACGTCAATCATATATTAACGGAATGTGTGAAGTATAAATTAGCCCGCGAATACTTAACTTATGTGAAAAACGCAATACTTAATAACAGTTAAATATAATTATCTTTATAGCAATAAATATTTGAAAAGTCAATAAAAAAAGACAAATGTAATAAAAACGTTTTATTTACTGACGCTAAAAGTATCAGAAATAGGCTTTGGGAATATGGCAATCAAGATTACCTAATGTTTTTTAGTATTAATACGGTAAATTTTAAATTTTCAACATTTTTTTGTCAATGTTGTTGGTTATTCCTTTCTTCCTTGCTTCACAGGTCATCCACTTTGTATTTTCGACGAAGACTTCAAAATGCCTATATCTTTATGACTACCTGGTTGGACTTGTATCCAATCATGGTGCAAACAGTTTCCAAATGTCTGTGGTGTAATTATTTGTCTAAACAACGGTACAGGACAGCTACTCCATGTTGCCTACCTTTGTACTTACGCAACTGGTAAAGGGAACCACAGCCTTGCAGAAAACAGAGCGTAAAGAATTTTATACTTTATCGTTTTATCATGTAAATGAAGTAACCGGAGGTCATTTGGCACCGCTAATTATAACTAACATTACATAAATTTTGCTAGTTTGCCATATTTTTCGATGAATTTTATAAGTAGTAGTTTTTTTACCTAATTAGATACCCAAACAGTGCCTAGTAAGGCCTAATAGGTACAGTCTACCAAGCGACCCCACTGCGGATTGGTAGACTTTATATAACTGCGAAATATTTTTAGGTCATTGTTTCTAAAATATATAGGTTTTCTTACGATGGTTTTAAATGTGAAATTTGTAAATAAATAGACAAAAACTTTGGGCTCTGCGGAATACCATACCGGAAGACGCAGGTTCGAATCCCGCACCGCCGAAAGTTTTTTAATGATTTACAAGAAAATCACATTTATGTATCATTTCGACTGTAAAGAGTAAAATTAAAAATTAATCCTAAATCGAAAGCAATTAAGATTGCAATTAACAATTTCAATGCTGCCAGCACGGATTTAAACTCAGGTTGCTTACTATATGTTTATACTCGATATTAAATTAAGAGCGAGCGCTTCTTCTTAACGTGGGGTAAATTCATACGCATAGCCGCCCTCGCGGGGGCAAGGACGGGTTGTTTCGGTCTCGCACCGACTAAAAACCCCACGCACTATGTTCCACCCTGGCGCATATCGGCAGGGCCACGGGAACGCTTTCACACACTTCCGCGAACCTGCCAACGCTAGCCGCCTTAGCAGCACCTTCTCGGGGAGCAACTCCCCTCTCCTCCAGTTAAGGTACGCTGGTACATTCAGCGCGCCTTCCTACTCAGCCCATTTTTTATGGCCAACCTACTCCGAGTTCGCTGACCAGAGGCCATGGGAGCCAGGAGAGCGGTGCTAATAAGCAGCAAGCATCCTAGCCATCAGTGAGGGACCTGGTCTGTAGCTTCGCCACTCACCACGTTTCGGCCGCGGAGGGTAGGGAGATCGCAATAACGACACTGCTCTCCCCCCGCGGCCCCACCACCAGTTATGTCTGCCTCGCACTGATTAAAACCGCCACCATGATCCATCTGGGGCGGGGCAGAGCTATGGGAACACTTTCGCGTAATTCTATGATCCTGCTAGCGCTAGCCGCCTCAACAGCAAACTGGCAGCGCCGGATATACGATTTTTTCAAAACGGCCCAGAAACTCGATAGGCTGCCCTGAAGAGAGGGGCAGCCTATCGAGTTTGAGATAAATTACTTAAAAAAAGTGTTAAATATTTATTGGTTGCAATTTTTCGTGAATGGAACACAAACCCTTTCTTTTGAAGTGTAATAATCTGTCGTAATAGCATATTGGTCGGCGAATGGGTACCACTGCTCCGCTGCTGTAAGATCGTTTCATGCAACTCACGGCAAGACGTCAAACTAAAATCGAGAGAAAGGGTTGTCTTTAAAACTCGACTGGCATAGTTTTTAGCCCCCAGACTGTGAGCGTCTGAGGTGTGTGGAGGAAGCTTATCCAACAGTGAGTCAACAGTGGTTTGGCCTGGAATGATAAAAGACAGACGAACTGAGCTCATTTTCATAAATGGCCTCTTAGACGCCGATTCTTACGTTAAAAACATTCATCAAACATTGCGGCATCATGTTCTTCCATTTTCACAGAGTGTCGGCTCACATTTTACATTGATAAATGACAATGCTCGTTACCATATAGCTAGGAATACGCAAGAATATTTTTTCCAGGAGAACATTCAAGTTCTGCCGTGGCTTGCTCAATCGCCGTACCCGATTGAGCACGCATGGGATATGTTAAAGAAGGTTTTGAAAGACCTGGATAGTCTACAACCACCCACCAACTGCAGGACCTATTGAAATTTATTCATTAGGAGCAATTTCTCCAAGATCGATAACCACAAAGAATCGATGAACCGCCAATGTCCTCAATTCTTCTTTCTTGATAATCGCGGTGTTCACACATTATATTAAAAAATTATTATTCATGAGTTCTTTTTATAAAAACTCATCTTTTATATATTTTTTATATTCCTTTTTAAGAGAGTATTTCCTTTATAAGAGAGAAAACCACCGAAATCTGAATCTAACAATTAGTCCACACGCCATGATGCCAGAACGCTAGCTGCATTTTCTCGCTGAAAAGCTATGATTAACCCTTGGGCGATAAAAACATCAACCCTCTTGTGTCTAGCAGCAGCTGTATCTAAATCTAGGACTGTCAAATGTTTTTATTCAATTATAAAAATTCTTATTTTTTTATACATACAATTACAAAATCATTATAATATACACATACATTATTGTTGTAAAGAAATAGTGATGATAGACATTGCCTTACAAATAACATCAGGCAAAAATGCTTAGGAGAATTTTGGAAGCATTAAACTATTAGAAGTCTTTTATGTTATTTATAAGAAGCCTTATTTAATATTTATTGAATTGGGGCTTCTTATAAATAAAAACCAAGGAAATAGCTAAAATAAGGATTCATGTCGAGAGGATAATTGTATATTTAAGATGTGTACATTTAATATGGTTAAGCCTGTGAAGTTACGCGCCTCCGTGTTTGACCAATATTATTTAGTTATTTTTATTTTTATGAAAATAAACATAATCGAACTTGTAATCTGAAACCAAGTGATTTTCTCGATATCTCAATATGCAACATTATTATCATAATGATGGAGAGATACTATTACAATTATTATTATTTCTTTCTTTTAATATTTATTCGAAATAATAAAGAACGGTAGGCTGGACGAACATGTCTAACGGTTTTAGTTCTGATTAGATGGCGAGCGGAATTTTATGCACAATCTTATAAAAGCGCATCTTAATAATGTTTATATTTTATTAATCTTTTCATTTCCTACTCAAACATGACGTCGAAACGGCAAGGTCTGAAACATCATCACACGGGGATTATAGTTCTATCGTTTCCGTGTATTCAAATTATTAAACTAACGATATTGGCATTTTTCGATCATTAGAACTTCACTGTCAAACATTTTCACAGGAATATGGGAGCTAAACAAAATCCAATGCAAAAAGATCTTTAAAATTGGTTCATAAATAACGGAATCCCGAGTTAAAAACAAAAATAAAACAGAATTAAGAACTTAAAAGTCATATGAAAAATATCAAATTATTAAGTTTGAAGATAAGAGTATGTATACATTTAAGTTAAAAGAAATACATTGTATTACACAATCCATAACACGAATATGTCAACGTTATTTGACTATCGTCATCAAAAAATGCGCTTTTCAGCAATAATGTATGTAGGACGGATCTTTTTCAAAAACGAAACACGTATACATTGTGGTATTGATCGTAATAACAAACGTAACCAACTTTAGTTCTTTAGTATTATCGTCCAAGTACATTTCAACAAAGAATTTATTAAGATCAGAATCAGATTTCTATGGTACATATCACTTCAGTGAATATAACTTAGTAACGTTCGAACAGCCTCTGCGACGCGTCGAATTCAATCAGTTCAGCAAGTTCAGGATAGACTTAATTATGTTCGTAGCGTGTTTATAAAACGAGTAGAGTTTATAGCTCGCAGACAGTTTTATCGTAACTTAGCCAGTGTTCACAACGTAGTAATTCTATTTCTCGCGAAAGAAAAATTTTAACATCTATTTGTATAGTGGATGAAAATGGCGTTCCTTCAAGGACCTTCGCCTAAACAGGCGGAAATAATTAAGCAGGAACTGGGCGAGGGACCTGGTGATTTGGAAAGGGGAGTCAGGGACCTGCAGAGTATGTGTGCAGCCTCACCCTATCTTCCGCAACCGGAAGTAATAGGTATGGTTAAAATTTATCGGGAAATAATTTAAATAATATATAAACTTTAAACTGTAAAAGGTACTTTTTAGTTTTTGGTTAGTATAAATTGATAAGTAATTTTCTTTTACATTTAATACATTTTGAATTAATGTTCATTATTTGTTTTATACGACTATTTTTGTATCGATTTTTTTTGCGCGAATGTTACACGTGAAATAGAATTTTTAATAAGTAAAATTTTGGGACAATCTTAAGGAACAATAAAATACTAATACAATTCTTAAAACATATTTTTTCACAATTATTTAACAACTGTGATGGTTTTGTAACATAGATATATTATATACATATGCGTTAGTTCTTTTTCGACGCTAGGTACGTTTATACAATTATTACAATTATTCAAGGCTAAGAAACCGGTTATAGTTGACTTGAGCTTGTGATGATTAATTATTATGTATTATATCTATAATCTGCAATTTAAATTAGTAGTGTAAGTTTTTAGTAGCAGCAGTGTAGAAGTTTTTACAAACTAATTTTACCTTAGTGGAATATATAAATAGAACATTTACATACCTATATTACGTATAAAAGTGTCTGAATATTAGAATACTACACAGCTTATTTTCATGGGAATCTTATCTTATTGTATGGGAACTACCACGTAGATTTTCGACCCAAAACCTATAGGTACCCTGTAGGTCAATTTTGGTTAAAAGCAAGGTCTACATACGGCACAAGTAAAAGAAAAATTCTGAAAAATATATAAAGTTTAAAATTACGATTTTATTTAAATTTTGGTACTTACAAGTTTTCGCGAAAATCCTAATTAGCCCATATCTTTTTACCGTGGTCACTCAGGACCTTGATTTTTATACACCTAATAGGGACTATAGACAGTCAGTCAGTATCTCGTATACATATTCGCATATAATTTCAACTTGCTGGGTCTACCCGTTCCTGAGAAAATCGGTTGTGATTATTATACCAATTATATTATAGCGGCAAAATGGATCAGTACGGAATCGTCGGTATACGCTTTCGACTCGCACTTGACCGGTATTTTTTTAATTAGACTCAAATTATAATCATTCTTCGCAAGTCAGCGCAGCGTGGATTTAATGAACATTAAATAGGATCGGGTACAGGGTTCTTTTTGTCACATATTTATTTACTTGTTACATATTCTTTACATAATGATACTATATTTCCAAGACATGTGAAGTATATTTAAAAAAATTATCAACATCCTACCTTTTGCTTTTGCATTTTTATATGTTTGACGACCGACGTCATCTGGATAATGTGTCTGCAGCGCTAAGTGGATACGAAAGATTCCGTTTAAGTCGACAAACACGTCTAGCCTGAATACTACGTAATTGTAACATGTTTCCCATGCAAAAGTGTAAATTATTTCCATCCTTTGTTGATATAAAATGGTAAATGTTGGCGCTCGCCAAACATTTAGTTATATATTTATTTATTAAGGTACATGAGTTTGTAATTCTTTTAACAATGTGACGACGCTCTTAAGTTTGCTCTGAGGGAAATTTTAAATAACTTGAAGGCTTAAGTTGACAAACTTTACCTTTAATTTGATTTAGGTTGACAAACAAAAAGCAAGCATATTATGTACTAGCTTTTCGTCCGCGGGTCCGCTTGCATGTACTACATTTTATATCGTGCTTAAAAAGTACCTTCGGAACCCTTTGTGCGCGTGTCCGACTCACACTTGCCCGATTTTTTTCATTTTATATAAACTTAAAATCATCATCATTACAAATAACATATAGTTAACTTTAATCAAATTTCATCAAATTCAACTGTATTATATGTATAACATTTTACCACACAAATCTTCAATGTGGGTCTTTATGTTGATGTAACTTTTTTATTAATGAACCAATTTAAATCAAACTACACTAAATGTTAAGTGAAGGTTACTGAAAGTTGCACCCAAATCGAATAAGCCGTTTCTAAAGTTGATAAAGGCCCCCAATAATAGTTTTTCTCAAATATCTTACATGTACAGACAACGATTACATTTTTACATTTTTATTCTATGAATGGGTAATGGCCAAAACAAGGAAATTAATCTGTTCCCCAATATCGATTATTATTCGGAAGAACATATTATATTTGGAGGAATACGGCTTTGGTTGATACGGAACACAGTGCAAGGACACAATGAAGTCATCGAGTTGACCAGACTTTTTAAAATAATTTTAAACTGCGACATTTGTTATAAACTTTATTTGAAACCCACGCTTCATATGAGATATTGATGTTCAAAGCAAGAGAAATATTTAAATTAGGTAGTGTTGTTTATTTCCTAATGAGTATTTTTATTTAATTTCCGTTTTCATTCGTGACAGTTTCGTTGTTTAAATAATAATTATTCTTCCATTTATATATGTAAAGGTAAAAATGTCCCATAAAAGTTTGGATTCGTACTTATACTTGATTAGGTCAACGTTACGTGGTGCGTTTACGTAAAGAATTTTCTCATTCGTGATCTGTTTGCAGTCTGTAGGAAAATTATGTTCTCTACGTACTATCGCAGCGTTTGGTAAGGAAGGTTGCTTAATACGATCTACGACTGTCGTGTCGATTAAAACGCATGCACCGCCGCGCCGTTTAGCGTTGCATAATGTAGAAAAAAATAATTACGATTCATTAAAGTCGAATTAATTCAGTGCGCACAGCCGCTTAGGCTTTTATTGTCTTGAATAATAACAAATCATACATGACAGGAGGACAACGACTTTATTTACCTTGTATAGACAGGATCAGTGACTTGTTGCTCTATGTAACAATATCTTTGCGTGTTGTTGTTGTTCGTTTCCAATATAGTACTCATATAATACGTTGGTTATGTAATACGAGTTTGTTTACATTGATAAACCCTTTTCCGGTATTAATCATTGTATAAATTGCGACCAATTATATTTATACTTCGTGCATTGTATATTTCGCGCCAAACTGGTATCGTCAAAGTCAAATTAGCTAATGTCAACGTTTAACAATTACGATTATTTTGTGACAAAAGTACATCGAATACAATTTTTTTTATATAATATGGCATGGGAGCAGACGTTTTAGCTAATGTTAATTGATGAGCATCTTTAAAATTATGGCCCCCTACCTTGCTTATCATATGATAACAATTATGCTCCTTCAGTATTTCATTACAAATTATATTAAAGTTATATTAAAATAAGCATCATACTTATTTATAGACATAACTTATGCAAAGCAATGGAAAACTTCAGTTCCAAAGATTAATTTTATTGTGATGAATATTTTTTGTTCCACCGTGGAAAATATTTCAAACTTAATCATAAATTGCGCCTAACTTATTTAAAAGCAACACTGGGAAACAAAATGTCGATTTAATACATTATAATTTATATATTTGCAACAATATTAATTATTTTATTTATTTCTCTGTGTCCTTGAAATTTAAGTCTCACATTATATCTTTATACAGCGTGTCGTTACAACCGCGACAATAAATGAACACACATATAAAGGATAACTTTTTAAAATTGCTTTAGTACTTAGAGCACCTTAGCAGTACTTCTCTTTTTTTTCTGTATCGTTAACTGTTGGCCTTGAGGCCTTTACAGATCCACCGGGGGTGAGGTGGCCGGGCGCTAAGTCTAACCTGTACCTCGATTATGGGTGACTAAGCTTGAGGGCTCCCGAGGGAGCCTTGGCTCGGGCCATCACGCTATTATTATCATCACCGGCTTGTGAGGCCGTCAAGCTTCAAGATCGCTTTGGCGGACGCTCCAGGGAGTAATTAGGTTCAAGGGCCCCCTAGAGGGGACTTCGGCTTGAACTGGTACTAAATACCCATTTGGCATTCCGAATCGAGGGTGCCCAAGAGGGCCGGTCCTCGGCTCGTTCGGTGGCTGTTATCTGACTAGTTAAAATAGCATTAAAATGTACTTAAAAGTACTATGAAGTCAATTTCATAAGTAACTAGTGTATAAATGTGACTTGGCCCAGTGATATCACATCCTTACTTCCTTACTAATATTATAAACGCGAAAGTTTTTATGTATGGATGGACGTTTGTTACTCTTTCACGCAAAAACTACTGAATAGATTTTAATGAGACTTTACAATAATACAGCTTATATATCAGAATAAGGCATAGATTATAATTTATATTGTGTGAATTGTCCAAAATATAGGTAATGATAAGTGTCAACTAAGTAGGAAAAAATTCAGCCATCTGCGAGATATTCTGGTGTATAATAAAAACTCATTGTTAATTCCCTTTGGCCGCGCGGCCGAAGCTGCGGTTAACAGCTAGTAATTTAATAAACATTAAAACTCATATCGCCAAAGTTTGATTTAACCAAATTCCACCTGCGTCGACTTAAGAATATAATTTACCGATATATAATTATGTAAATAAGGGATCACTAAGGGACTTTTTGAGTGTCAGGACGCTATTAATAAAAGTCTGAATTAAATTTGAAAAGTTCCTTTTCCCCAATGAAAGTGCTATCCGAATTGGTTCCATCTAATAATTTACTTTGACTGATGGAACTTGGAACGCGGGGTACCTTGTGTTCCGGAAAACCTTGGAAACCGGGAAACCGGGAAACCTTGTGTTCGTAGGGTAGGATGGTGATTGAATCGTTCCGAAAACTAGCACGAAAGCCCAAAGAAACAGACAAAAAATTACTTTTTGGGGACTTTTTTTGTTCTTGTCGCAAGTAAGGTAATTTGAGTACAGTAATTTAAAGATCATTTATTTTAACGTGGGAAAAATTCTCCCCAATATTGGAATATCTAATCTAAATAAAAAAATATATCAAATAAATTATAGTATGTGTTATGAGATAATGTAATTGGTTAGTAGTTGTAAATTACTAAGGAATAAGCAAACAAACATATCTTAATAATATTAGTAGGGGAAATAAATGTAAAAACCCTAAGCCTTGATTTTTTTAACGTGACAGATTTGCACAATAACAATAGTCTTCGTAGCAACTCACTTT